AAGAATTCATGAAGAAATAAATATATAAAATGAATATTATATAATATATAACATGTACATTTTTTCTTGTTTTCATGTTATATTCTTATTTTTATTCTTTTTATTCTATTATTTTTTTATAATTTTTTAATTTTTAATTTTTTAATATAAATTTTTTAATATAATTTTTTAATATAATTACACATAATTAATAAATAACAAACAATACTAACGATGAAATAAATTGAATTATTATCAAAAATTAGACTTTGTTACAAGTTATTCAATTTTTCAATTAGAAGAATGCTTTTAATATTTGTATATGATTACTACATTTTCAGACAAGGTTTCTTTAATTTTGAATTTAAAACAAAGTTTGTGATATTTTGAACATTTTAAAACAATACACTTTATAATTATTTTTCTTCCTTTTTTGTTCAGAGAAGAATGAGAAAGAAGTAAATTGTTATTTAATTAGTTAATTAGAGAAAATGACTTATCTTATTATTTGATTTATTAATATTTTAAGTCAATAAAACTAATTAATTGTTTAATTAGTGATTTTTTTAATAATTTATTATATATTATCATTAGATTTATTTACTTTAAATAAATAATTTATAAATTTATTTTATGCCAATTTTATACAAATTTTAATATATAAAAATTATATTAATATATAAATTTTTAAATATAATTATATAAAATATAAAATAATATGAAAAATAATTATATAAAAATTTAAATAAAATTAACAAATTCAAAATAAATTCTACCGGATAATAAAAGTTTTATTTTTATTTTTCTCATTATTTTTTTAAATCATTGATAATTTTTAATTTTTACATATAATCTTATTTTTATTATAATAATAATCATATTTTATAAAGTATAATTCAATTGCAAAGATTTTTGTTATATAATATAATAGATATGATAGATATAATTAATCTATAATTAATGATTTGAACTGATATTTTCTTTTTTCTATTTGTTTTATCTATTATATATTCGTTATAATAGTAATAATAAAAATACATTGCAATTATTATTCTCTTCAATTAAAAAATTAATTATTTCTTATTTTATTTTTTTTTCAATTCTTATTTTTATTTTTTTTATTATTTTTTTAAAGATTTATATTTTTTTGTTATTTTTTTCTCAATTCTTCATTTTCTCAATTTTATCTTATATAATAATAACAATAATAACATAAATATTATAAAATATTTATAAAATATTTATAAAAATACTTGAAATCTCAAAATTTTTTAAAAATTAAAACTTTTGTTTTTTTCGAACTTCGAAAACATAAAAATTTATTCTTTGCAAACCAAAAAAATTATCAATTATTTATTTGATTATGAAGAATTATGAAAAATCAAAATTTGCCAAAATTTTTTTTTGTTGATTTTACTCAACAATAATAGATACATATAATAAAAATTTCAAGATTATAAAGTTTCGAATTCGAATTTTGTAAATTTAAAAATAAATAAATTATTTTAATGATAGATTAATATCTTCAATTCTTTTTTTAGTTTCATTTCATCATAGTAATAACATAAATATCGAAAATTAATTTTCCAAATGATTTTAGATCTTTATCCGATAATAATAGTAATTAAAGAAATAGGCAACAAAGAAAAAAAAAGAATGAAAAAGTTATATGAAATTATCGTATATAACAGGTTTTCATAGATAAAAACATGCAATGTCCTTGTTGCATGCATTAAACAAGTTTATAGTTTATTATTTATGTCAGCCGGACATATATGAGAAATATTTGATATTGAATATAATCATTGCAATTAAATTCGTAGGAAGAAATCGATACTCGTTATTGAATCCTAAAAGAATTGGTATTCTAATCGCGAAGGAAAGGAATAACTCATCTGTGACGAGTCTAATGCAAGAAGGAAACTAATTTATAGTTCTTTCGTAAATCGACTTTCACTAGAGTGTCAAGAAGTTCCCATGGAAGTGCAAAACAGATCTGACTAACCCAGATTCTTCTAAGAAGTCTCTATATATAGGGTGCTAATATATTTGTGAAACAATACTTTAGAAGATCTATTTTAGAATTAAAAATAAATACAAAAGTTGATATATAAAATTTAGACTTGTTTATTAAATTAACATATTATATATTATAAAGCAACTTAAATTTTGATTAGCAAGATAGAAATATGAGACGAAGCAGTCTCATTTTATATCCATTTTGCTTCGTCTAATGTAAACTTAAATTGCTTACTTAATAAATAAATCTTATCAATCGATATTTTTATATATTAATTTTTATATTTGTTTTGACCTATCAGAATCTTCAAAAGATAAAGTAACAATATAAATAAGAATAGTTTTTCTTATATTTATACCTATATAAAAAATAATAACAATTTTTATATTTTAAATGATTTGTAAATTATATATATACATACACATTTTATTTCTATACTATATAAAGAAACAGAAATGAAATATTTTATGATATTTTAATTATTAAGAAAGAGAGAAAGAATTTTTTATGCATTCATTGCTGCATATCATGAATATATTAATATGTATATTAAGTTGTCTAGGATATTATAGATTTCAATAATTTCAACAATTATATCATAGATTATATTTATATATATTATGCTTTGTATATTACAAAAATTAATTTTTAATTTTTATTGTATGAGAGACTCAATTAGAAAATGATATAAATATATTTTTTTAGAAATATGATGAATAAAATAATATAAATATATAATAAATAAATAAATAATAAATTATTTCAAAAATATTATTTTATTAAAATTTTAAATTAATAAATTTTATATTTACTATTATTAAATCTTTAATTATTATTTATTATTTTATTATTTATATTTTATTTATTAATTTAATCATTATTATTTATGATTAATAATTATGAAAAAATTAATAAATTGAAAATATAAAATAAAAATTTTTTATTTGTGAAAATTTTTTTACGATTTTTTGTTTTTTTTTTTCGCTATTTGAAAATTCAAGTTCAAATAAAATTGGTTTATTCTGATGGAATATAATGAATTATTGCTGTGAAAGTAATATAAAAATAATTGAAAAATATAAAATAAGATTTTATCATTTATTCCTTGTTCTCAAGAAAAATCAAATTTGAAAATTCATAATTTACAAAATTTTTTATTATATATGTATATTTAAACTCGTTTTTCTCAAAAACAATAAAATTTTATTTTACATTTCTTAGTTATTTTCAGATGTAAAATGATCTCCTTTCGTTAATTCATTTGTGTTTGATCAAGAATTAGCTAATTTCATTTATATTTGAACAATTTTAAAACTTTATTTTCTCAAAAAACAAGATTAAAAAAGAAAACAAAAAATTATTTTATATTTTCTATATTTTCGATTTATTTATTTATAAAAAATTTATTCATGTCTGATTATAATATTTTTCTATTTTCTATTTTTTTTCCTGCTTTTTTTTATTTTTATTTATAACAAATCAAAATGTTTTATTTATATATTATTTATAATAAATCTATGTGTTTTATTAAAATTTAGTGAATAAAATAATATAAATTTATTATATAATTTTCTCAATTTACACTCATTAAAACTTTCAATTAATTCTAAAAATTGAATATTTACAAACTCGATAGCTAAAAAAAGTATTTATACATCAATTTATATAATATTTATTATAATTAATTAAATTAAGTATATTTCATATCGTTTAAAATATTTTGAAATAATTTGAATAAAATATTTAAAACTAAAATTTTTATATTATTTCAAATAACAAACAAATCTTAATCACTTAAATCAAATATTATTTCATTTTATGCTAAAATCAAATTATTAATTTGAAAATATATTTAATGCTTAAATTGAAAAAAATGAATAAATATTATTGTTTATTGTTTACGGAATATTACTAAAATAGAAAATAAAAGAAAGTAGAAAATACATATTTCAATACAAAATCTTTCTTCATATACCTCTAATTGGTTCTAATAATGGTAAATTCAAAAAATTTCTAATTTGTTTTAATTGAATACAAAATTTATATTATGGTTCTATTTTTATATAAATTTACCAAAAGGATATAATAATTGATTAATATTAATAATAATTATATTATTAATAATAATAATAATTAATAAAGATTGTATTTTTAAAAATGTAAATTAAGAACTTCTTTTCTAAAATTTATATTTTGAATCCCACGACATATATATATTATGTTTTATATATTTTATTGTGTATATATATATATAAAATAGTATGACTTTAAAGTCATACTATTATACATATAATACGTATCGTATAAAATAAAGTTGGATATTTTTTATTCAAGATTATTTTACTATTTATAAGATTATTTTTATAAGATTATTATATTTTTATAGTTTAGTAAAATACTTATATTTCTATGAGTTGTTATTAAAATATATATTTAAAATACTATTTATTTAAATTCCATTTTAAAAAGAAAACTTCATTCATAAAATTTTTCATCATTCGAAGAAATAAATATATTTATCTATTTCAAAAATTAAAAAAATCTAAATAAAATTTTCTTCCATAAAAATTTGTTTTCATATAATTAATTCATAAAAATAGGATACTATGAAAATAAAATAAATGTAATAAAGAAACATTTCATTAAAAAATAATACTATAAATATCATCTTTTCTGTAGCCACTATGCAATTTATTATCACAAATATCTTCGTTCTACATTTAATTCAAATAATGGTTGGATTAATAAATAAGGGCACCATCGATAATTCGTGGAAATTTTTTTCTTTGTATTCATGTCATTGATATAAGATAGACATACAGAAAATGACGATTTAAATTGCATTAAGATAATGAGAATCTCATAATTGTTGTTTAATTATAGCTTAAGTTATAATTAGAAATAAAATTCGTTCAAACACATTCATTTATTGATGTGTAATGATTAATAAATAATATCTAAAAAAACCGTTTTCTCAAATTGGCGTTTGTTTTTATTTCAGAGTTGGTTGTCGGCAATTTCAGCTACGATGGAAATAGTGGTAAGTTAATTGTGAAATCTTTCGCAGAAAAGAAAAAAATCATAATTATTTGAGATTGATTTACGATTTAAAGATATAAAAACCTCTAAGTGCTTGTTACTGTTTCAACGCGATTAATTTACTTTTTTCACATGTCGACACGTAAATGCCATGTTCTTAATATTATTGCATTCGCGACATTTTGTCGCTATCTCGCTCGTATTTATGATTCAGACAAAAATATTTATACAATGAATACGAAGGTATTCTTTTTCTTTCCAATAAATTAGTTTAACGTTAGAAATGTTAAAATTATTAAAACAAATCAAATTGATTTTTTATTTTTGCAATTATTAAAAATGCATAAATTCTCTCGACAAAATCAATATTATAATTTTTTATTCATAATAAAGACTTTATTTTATTCAAATAAAGATTATTAAATATGTATATTAAATATTAAATACTGTGTCCTGTTTAACTGGAAACGATCGATAAAAAATATTTCAAACAAAATTATTTATATAATATAATATAATAATATATATACAAATAATACATTATGGAATATTAATATTTTTTTATAGATTAAATCATATTAATTTTTAAGTAGAATTGTAATTTTGTATTTTGAGGAATTTTTAACATGTATGAATTGTTATTTTCTACAAGAAAGTATTAATCTATTATATTTATATCATAAAATTATTAATTTAGAAGATAATATAACTTAAAATTTATAAAACTTATCATATGAAAGACAAGAAACATGCGAATACTTCGATATTGCTTATGTTCTCCTCTTTCACATAATTAGTTTCATGAACTTCAAGTTACAATATAATATAAACAGCAGTATAGTTACAGTTTAATTACAAATTTTACGACATAAATAGTTTAGTAGTTTAGTAGCTATAACTTAGTTATAAATTTTATGATATGAATAGTTAATATTTTTCTATAAAAAGTAACAAGTTTAATGCATCAGTTGGTGCATTAAAAATTAGATAATTCCATTTTTAAAATTATGATGTATGATGTCCACGCATGTATTTATAAAACTAACTACTTAATGTATTTATCTATACATTTTTTTTTAAACATATTTTTATATAGTTCTTATTTTTCCAAATATTTAAATATTTCTAGTTAAACCGGATGTAGTTATTTTTATATATTTTAATTGTGTATATATAATTCCAGATTTGAATGAAATTCAGTTCAAAAATAATAAAATTTTTGAAAATAATTATATAACATTAAATATTACTATTGATAAATTATATATTTTATGTTTTTGTATTATTTCTCTTTGATCATTGAATAATAAATTGAAAAATTTATTTGAGAAAATAATTGAAAATTTGTTTCTAATAATAATATTATTCAGAATAAATATAGAAGATATAATAAATATATGTAATGAATATAACAATATATAATAATAATATTTAATGATAATGTATATTAAAAAATCAATCATTTTCATCAAATTCAAACAATAAATAATCATATCAAATAATAATTTATTTGAAATGATATATAATTGAAAATACATTGATTTATTTTTTATGTAATAACTTCATAAAATAAAAAAAATAGAATATTTTTCAAATAGTTATAAAAAATAATTTTAAAATAATGAAATTCATAAATTTCTTTTTAAAACGTCCAAGTGCACAATACATATATTTAGATTCATATTATAATTTGTAGTTTTAATATTAATTGATTATTTTTATTTATAATTTTTAAATTTTTTCATTTTTTTATAACATAATAAAATCAATAAAATTTCTAATGTAAAATAATTTTTTTATTTTATTAAATTTATACTAAATATAGTTTTAATTATTGCAAAAATATATACAAATTCTTTTTTCAGGACCATCGCATTGGGGCGACGAATACAAACAATGCGTAGGAAAATTCCAGTCACCCATTGATATAGAAGAAAAGGATGTCACAAACATGACTTTTCCAAAACTACAATTTTCTGACACAGAGAATTCCCACGTAGCTTACATGATTAATAATGGCCATACAGGTATAAAGTAGCAAGGTTAAGATATTAAATAAACGTTCGAAAATAACTATTGTCTAACATCGTTAAAATGGTGTTCAAGTAAATTCAATTTTATTTCAATGAAAAGTAATTATACATATACAAACGATTATACGTATACAAACGATTATAGAAAAACGATTATGAATTATATACAGTGTGACAGATTTATCCCGAAACGCGTTCGAAAAACATGAATCACATGAAAAAATGTTTTAAACAAAAATTGTTTGATATAAAAAAATATATTATGTAATATATTAATAATTTTTTTATAAACTGAATTTTTCAAAAATCATATAAAGATCAACTTTATTTTTTTTTTTTTAATTAAAACTATATAATTTTTATTGTACTAATAGATACAATTCATTATTTTTTAAGGCACTCTTTATGTCGAAAAATTTTTAATTTAGAACATATTATTTGAAATTCGTAATTTGTCATTTGAAAAACAAAGAGCATGAGATATGTTGCAGAATATCACTTCATATATTTCTTTTCTTTTATATATATAGTAAATATTCAAGATAAATAAGATATTATACATTTCTATATTTATAGAAATCTTCTTCTATATTTATAAGACATTTAAATATAATATAGAAATGAATATAAAATTGAATAAATATTTATAGCTTATAATTATTAATGATAGATAACAATTGAAAATTAAACTTATAAACAATAATTGTAGTAATTATAATTATAATAATATTATAGATTTTCATCTTTTCTTATAATGCATATAATATTTTCTTCGTTAATTAAATAAAATAAAATTTAATAATATTGATGATCAATATTATTAAAATATTAATAATTATAATATTTAAACTATTAAAATAAAAATATCAATTTTATCAATAAATTGCTGATTAAAAATTTAATTTCTTAAAAAGATTAAATTCGATATATATAGTTTCTTTTATCGAAACCAAAATTTTTAAGAAATCAATTTTTTTTTCCAGTCATCAATTATTTTTTTTAGTAATATTGCATCAACCTGAACTCGACCTTAAAAAAATTATCGTATCAAGCAATTTCATGAGAGAAAATTTAACAAAGAAAAATATGTGAACAATACATCTTGTTGGCCAAAATAATAATTCGAACCGTAATTTATTCAGAACAAAGAGCAAGATATATGCCAAGAAATATGCATCGGATAAGCATAAGCTTGATTTAAATGGATATGCATTTTATGACATTGGAACTTCCATGTCTCTAACCATGATTGCACATACTGATGATTTAATAATCAATAATTCCATATACGTATCTGTTCTTATTTTTATGCATGCTAAAAGATATTGCATTGTCTAATTAAAATATACATTCGTTTTCTTTCGTAATGTTTAATTTTAAACTATCTTGAACATTATATTCATTCTTGTAATACATATGCATAAATTTTTTATATTCTTTTGCACTACTGAAAGACATTGTTTAATTAGAATATAAATTTGTTTGTCTCCAGTTTTTTTTTTAAATTTTAAATTCATTTTCATTATTATTGGTTTTTATTATTATTTATATATAGAATATGTTTGTTTGTCATAATTCTAAATGATGATGAACAATGAAATATTTTTTAAGAAAGAAATGTTATAAAAAAAATATTTTAACAAAAGTTGTTTGATATAAAGAAATACATTATGCAATACTAATAGTTTTTCTTTAAGTTCTAGAATAGAAAATGACCTTTGTCTTTTAACGCTATTTAATGAGTATACTCATCATGAGGAAACTCTTTTAATAACAACTATATTCATCGTGCAATAAAATAAAATATTTTTTTACTAATTTTTTAAAATTTTTATAAAAAAATGTACTTTTTTTATTCGAATATAGAAATAAAAATGGGCAATAATTTTTTGCATTTTTATGAAAATATTTTTATATTTGACGCATAAAAAGGATTAACATTACATAAAATTAGAGTTATTTTTTATGAAAATTATAGCATTTACTTAGTCCATTTATTTCTTCGATTTATAAATAATATGTTTGTTATTGTACAATCTTAAGACGATTAAAATTGAACAATTTGAACAGTATAAAACATAAATCTCAATCAATAATGTATAAATTGTACATATTATTGTATTAATAATATTGTAATAACATTTATTAATGAATTTAATTAATGAATTTTTGAACAATTATTACTTTTTTAATATTCTGTAATAATTGTAATATTTATCATTGTTTAATTTTAATTATATAAACAGTTAAATATACACTTTTAACACAAAATTCCATTAAAGATAGAATTAAATAGAATTGTATGATTTTTATTATATAAATAGTTCTACAAAAGAGCATTATGTTATTTATATACATATCG